TCTCTTCTCTGGTGTGCTGACTTTGTGCCTTTTGCTGATTACCTGTGTTTTGAAAACCATTTGTATATCACTTCCTTGGGAATTTGCACTATGGCATTTAAAGAGTTTTGGTTGTTGTTTTTGTTTTTAATTATGTATATGTGTGTGACTGTGTGAGTGTATGTGCACATGAGTATAAATGTCCATAAGGCCAGAAGAGGGTATTGGATCCCCTAGAGTTGAAGTCACAGGTAGTTGTGAGGCCCCCAACATGCAGTATGTGCTCTTAACCACTGAGCCATCTCTCCAGCCCTGAAATTTAGGCATTTTTAAAAATTATTTTATTATTTTTATTTTATGTATACAAGTGTATCGCCTGCATGTATGTAAGTGCACCTGTGTTGTGCAATGACCAAGGAGTTTAGAAGAGGGCATCGGATTCCCTTGGAACTGGAATTACAGACAGTTTTTAGCTTCCATGTGGGTGCTAGGAATCAAACTCTGGTTCTCTATGAGAGCAGCCAGTATTCTTAACTTCTGAACCACCTCTCCAGCCCCCTGAAATTTAGTTTTAATTGCTCCCCTCACCAAAATTACCATATCCTTTCCTTCCCTCATTTCTTTCTGCAATTTTTTGTTCAATCTTTTGTGAAAGAAAAGAGCTCTTGGCTTCAAGTAACTGTGAGGTAAGAACCATACCCCACATCAACTAGTGCCTTGGTGATGACAGGTAGAGATAGTAACTCCCTAGGGGGTCATTCTCAAAACGTAGGCATCCAGAACTATATTCTCTCTCTCTCTCTCTCTCTCTCTCTCTCTCTCTCTCTCTCTCTCCTCTCTCTCTCTCTCTCTCTCTCTCTCTTTCCCCCTTCCCCCTCTCCCTCTCCCCCTTCCTCTTTTCCTCTCCACTCTTTCCTTTCCCTCTCCCTTCTCTTCTTCCTCTAGATCTCTCTTCCCCTTTCTGTCTCCCTCTTCTCTCAGATACACAGTAGAAGCACCAAACATTAAATGACAGAGATACTTAGTGATAGTTCTGATTTTAATGCATGAAAGGATAATGGGAGTTTTTAAGTCAAAAGCTAGGGCTCTAGCAGCCCCACAAGCTTTTCACTCAGCCACCAATCCTAGTACTCCAATCAAAGAGATAGGCAGTGATAAAAAGCAGAGTAGAGCTGTAGGTCAAATATGGCCTATAAGTTCATTTCTTTCCAGGATTTTTGTTTTCATCACTATTTTTCTTATAGAATCTCATTCTACACAGATACTCTGTACAGCTGTACTGGGAAAAAGGAACAGATAAGGGGATCTGGTGACACCCCCACCCCACCAAATCCATCTTTGGGATACTGACAGGGTCTTTAGGTGGAGGTAGAATTGCTTGAAGGGACAAGGTGGTTTTCAAAAGATGATTACTTCTGCTCCAGGGTGTGGGGTCTGTCCTGTGAGGTTCTGCTGCTCAGGGATTCCAAAGTGATTGGAGACAAAAGGTTATGACTTATCCATCTCTGTGCCTTTGGCTGAAGTAAAGCAGACAGACAGACACAAAATGAAGGCAGAGAGGTCAGCTTTTATTCTTCTAATTATCCTGTTAATACCAAGTGAGGAGAATGAGTTCTAGTGCAAGCCGCTTCTGAGCACTTGTTTCAGAACAAAGCTGTGACACCTCAAGTAGGTGCTGTGCTTCCAGATGCCAGGGCAGAGGTTAGGACTGGATGTGGGCTTCTCCCTTTTCATTCTGATCTCACCTTGCAGCCCTTGTTGATTATCCTTAGTAGGTCTGCAGATCCAAATGCTTCCTGCATATGTGTCTTGTCTTTTCTGTTTTGGCTGGTTTGGATTGGGGTGTGGTACTACTTGATAAATGCTATAAATTAAAATAGCACAAAGTATTTGTGTAGAATGAGACTCTATAAGAAAAATAGTGATGAAAACAAAAATCTTGGAAAGAAATGAACTTATAGGCCGTATTTGACCTATAGCTCTACTTTGGCTGGCATTTCTTTTCCTCTCCTCCCATCTCTCACTCCACGCTCCTGCTACCTGCTTCCTAATTTAAGAGTTAGGACACTTTCTACAGAAGATCCAGAGTTCTAGCTTCCCTTAGATCTCACTTTCCTGTCCATCCACACCCCACCCCACCCCCAATCCCCCACTTCCTGATTTCTGTCCTACATCCAGTTTATCCGTGTAAATTTGCTTTCAGTTTTGCTTTGTTTTGGCAACCCGTTATACTAGAACTTGAATCATGTAATCATATAGAGTTGTTTGGGGTTAAGTGATTGCTTCTTTATTTAAAAATAATGATGAGATGGAGAGAAAAAGAGAAATACCACATTTTCTCTCATGTGGAGTCTAGATTTTTTTTAAAGCATACCTTGACATGAAATCAGAAGAGGTATATTCTTTGCAGGGGAGAGGGAAGGGGATCAGTGGGGCTGAGAGAGAATGAGAGAGGGTAATGGAGGGTGAATGGGAACAGAGTACAATCGATACACATGTGTGAAAGTTTCATGATGAAACCCACCATTGTGTATGCTAACTAAAATAAAATCTGAAAAAGAAATGATGTTTGCAAGCTTCAGAGACAGGCTTCCTCAGCCAGACATTCCAATGGTCAGGTATTTGTAAGGACAGAGATGGGAGTTCCATGAGGTTTTCTGACTGTAGCTAAGGGTTCTCTTACCCCTTTCTTGATGCTTCTTATTTAAACTAGGGAATGTCTATTTGCAGAATCTTTTGTCTATCACTTTGCTTACCATGTTACACAGAAGAATCAAATTACCACCAGCAGCATTTGTTTAACTTTGCCAAGCTTAATTCTCAGTAACTTTGAAATAGGCCAGGCTTCTCTGACAGATATTTAGATTTCAGAATTGGAATCTTAACCCAGTAAGGCTCATTCATGTAGTTCTCAATTTTTACAAGTTCAAGCCCAGTTTAATTCCCAGTTTTATGAATGAAGTCTTTAAAACATAAATCACCTACTCTTTGAATTTAATTGGATGAAAATTGGCAAAGCCAACACAAAACTAATTAGGAGAGAACTAATAGGGACATGTAGAATAACCATATGTCCCAAGAGCCTGGAGCAGCACATTGTGTGCTGGTGGTCTTGGCCTGATTATCAACAGATGCCTACTTTCAGAAGTTCTTGCTTTGAACACATTATCTGGAAATACTACCTGTAGGTATATGAGAATATTAATTTAAATGTTTCAAATGTGTGACTATTGAAACTACTGGAAGCTATGCTATCTCAGTATATTCTTGGAACCACTTTTCAGAACAAAAAGATAAAAACAGCTCTGCATAATATAAATGCTCATAAATCCAAATGGGAAAGTGTTAGTCCAGGACTAACAAACACATAATGATTTTTTAAAATAAAGAATATTTTGAGGGAGTGGGATATAGCTCAGTTGGTAGAGTGCTTGACTAGCATGCATGAGGCCCTGGGTTCAATACTCATCACAGCATAAAACTGGCACAGTGGTGCATGCCTGTAATACCATTCCTTAGGAGGGGAAGGCAGGAAGATCAGAAGTTCAAGGTCATCTTCAAGCTGCACAGCAAGTTAAAGGCCAGCCTGGGCTACATGAGAGCAGGTCTCAAACAACAACAAGAAAGTTGAGTTTGGATCTACATTAGTTGTCTCATTGTGTCTCTGTAACCCCAGTGCAGAAGGGAGGCAGTGGAGACACTCAGATCCCTGGAGCTTGCTGGCCAGTCTGTACAAATCTGTAAGCTCCAGATTCACTAAGAGAACCTGTCTCCAAAAAATAGGTGGAAAGGCAATTGAGGAAAACAAACCACTATCAATGTCTGGTCTCCAGATGCTTGCAAGATGAACCTGTCTCCAAAAAATAGGTGGAAAGGCAATTGAGGAAAACAAACCACTGATGCTTGCAAGAGCAAGCCCATCACATAAAGTACACAGACACAGACAGATGCACATAAACCCAGAAATGGATTCTCTCACAGTACTGGGCTTCACTAGAAGTCTGACATGCAGCGGGGCTGTACTTTTTCCAGAAGTTTAGTGGCTTGTTCCAGAGTCTGATGGCTGCTGCCATGCCTTGGCTTGTGGCTTCCATCTCTGCTGCCTTCACATTCTTGTCTGTGTGCCTGTTATCCCCCATGCTTCTGTTGTGTAAGAACACTTGTGATGGCATTTTGGACCCACCAAGACAACCCAGGGTAATGTCTTCACCTAAGATCCCCAGCTTAAATATATCTGTGAAGTCCCTTTTCAAATGAGGTAACATTTACTTAGGACTTGCTGTCTCTGGGTGACCACCATTCAACTGACGACACACACTGAAGGTCAAAATGACACCCAATGGATTTCTCGTATAAATTATAGCAGAGAATTATATTTTCAAAAAGGATATGACAGACTTTTTTTTTAATGATCAACACTAAATGTCCAGAGGACTCTGCTGCCAATGTGGGACAGTGCCACCTTCTAATCTCTCTAAACCCTATTTATACAGTTAAATGCCTGTATTAAGACTAGAGAACTCTGAGAGTTTGTAAACTTTTTAAAATTAATCTATTTTTCACATTTGGGAACATGTCCTTGCAAGTCTGTAAAAAGTGATCAGTCATACAAAGAACCAGACACACAGAAATGCACCATGCATTCTGCAAAAGGTATCCATTGCTTCCCATGGTATACTCCTCACCAGGTGCAGGCATCTTTGAGGTTTGTTCCTGCAGAATAGTGGCCAACCTCATTGTTCTTGGGCTGGGTTCCTTAGCCCTGGGGCCGGCCATTCATTGGCTAACTTCTTGTTGAGGAAATGTTTTTTATTAAGCAGTTTATGTCTGTTGACTTCTGTCTCATGAGGCTGCTATTGACTGGGCTGTATCTAGGGCCTTTTGTGTACCGCAAGCCATCTAGAAAAGTTTCTGATTTTTAGATTTTGTTTTAGCATTAGCACGTGTGCAAGGAGCCGTAAGGATGGAGTGATACTTACTCATGCAATTCTAAAACAAGAATCTTCTTATTTCCTTAACAGATGCAGCAGCTTTTTTATGAGAATTATGAACAGAACAAGAAGGGGTACATCAGAGATCTCCATAACAGTAAAATCCACCGAGCAATCACATTGCACCCCAACAAAAACCCACCCTACCAGTACAGGCTACACAGCTACATGCTCAGCCGTAAGATTGCCGAGCTGCGCCACCGCACAGTCCAGCTTCACAGGGAAATTGTTCTGATGAGCAAGTACAGCAACACAGAGATCCATAAGGAAGACCTCCAACTGGGCATCGCCCCATCCTTTATGCGCTTCCAGGCCCGCCAGCGAGAGGAGATCCTGGAATGGGAGTTTCTGACTGGGAAATACTTGTACTCAGCCACTGACGGCCAGCCTCCCAGGAGAGGGATGGACTCAGCCCAGAGGGAAGCCATGGAGGACATCGTCATGCAGGTGATGGAGATGATCAATGCCAATGCCAAGACTCGGGGGCGCATCATCGACTTCAAGGAGATCCAGTATGGCTACCGTCGTGTGAACCCCATGTATGGGGCAGAATATATCCTGGACCTGCTGCTCCTGTATAAGAAGCACAAAGGGAAGAAGATGACAGTCCCCGTGAGGAGGCATGCATACCTGCAGCAGACCTTCAGCAGGATCCAGTTTGTGGAGCACGAAGAGCTGGATGCCCAGGAGCTGGCCAACAGGATAAACCAGGACTCTGGGTCCTTGTCCTTTCTCTCCAATTCCCTCAAGAAGCTCGTTCCCTTTCAGCTTTCTGGGTCCAAGAGCGAGCACAAAGAGCCCAAAGATACAAAGATAAACATTCTGATCCCTTTGTCTGGACGTTTTGACATGTTTGTGAGGTTCATGGGGAACTTCGAGAAGACATGTCTCATTCCAAATCAGAATGTCAAGCTGGTCGTTCTGCTTTTCAATTCCGACTCCAACCCTGACAAGGCCAAACAGGTTGAACTGATGAGAGATTATCGTGTCAAGTATCCTAAAGCTGACATGCAGATTTTGCCAGTGTCTGGAGAGTTTTCAAGAGCTCTGGCCCTTGAAGTAGGATCTTCCCAGTTTAATAATGAGTCTTTGCTCTTCTTCTGTGATGTGGACCTGGTGTTTACTACGGAATTCCTGCAGCGGTGTCGAGCAAACACAGTTTTGGGTCAACAAATATATTTCCCAATCATCTTTAGCCAGTATGACCCAAAGATTGTGTATAGTGGGAAAGTTCCCAGCGACAACCATTTTGCCTTTACTCAGAAAACTGGCTTCTGGAGAAACTATGGGTTTGGTATTACTTGTATTTATAAAGGAGATCTTGTCCGAGTAGGTGGCTTTGATGTGTCCATTCAAGGCTGGGGGCTGGAGGATGTGGACCTCTTCAACAAGGTCATCCAGGCAGGCTTGAAGACCTTCAGGAGCCAGGAAGTAGGAGTCGTTCACATCCACCACCCTGTCTTCTGTGACCCCAATCTGGATCCCAAACAGTACAAAATGTGCTTGGGGTCTAAAGCATCAACATATGGGTCCACACAGCAGTTGGCTGAAATGTGGCTTGAAAAAAATGATCCCAGTTACAGTAAAAGCAATAATAACGGTTCTGCACGGACAGCCTGATGTCCAGCTCTGCTGAAAAGAACATTTTTAATTATCTAATTTATTTTTCAAAAACTTTTTGTATGATCAGTTTTTGAAGTCCATACAAGGGATATATTTTTCAAGTGGTTTCTTACACAGGACTCCTTTAAGATTGAGCTTTTGAACAAAAATGTGATCAATGTTTGCCTTTGAACACATCTTGCTGAACATTATGTAGCAGACCTACTTAATCCTGACTTGAAACATACCTGATAAAACTTTTTATAATAATTTTTGGGTTTGTTTTTTTTTTTACATTTCTTTTCCAGACCCTACCCCTTTCTTTATAGTACTAGGGCAGAAAATGCGAACATTCCTACAAAGTATTATTGTGAGAAAAAAACACTGTAACTCTGATATTCTGTTGTGACTGTTAACTTTGCACAAATTCTACCTTTTGCTTTTTTTTTTTTTTTTTTTTTAAAGCAGTTTCTTTTAAGCCGTCTTGAGTTCCAGTCCTAAGGAAACATGATACTAGCTGTATCATCATTATCTTCTGGACAGCTTTCTAAATTTGATTATTTCCCTCATACTGTGTTCCACCCACTGTGGTCACACAGGTTTTTATAAGCAGGGGGAGCCAGGAAAGCACAGATGTGGCTGACCCTACTGTAATTCCTTGGCCTATATGGACCTTGTGCTAAAGTCCAAAAGGACTTGGCATTTTCTCTCTAACCTTTCTTATCAGACGGCAAAGTATTATTTGGGATGACCAAGAAGAATGATGGTTCCAAGTTTAATGTATGTAAGCTAAACACACCCTAATGAAACTCGAGGGGAACATCTGGGGCTTTGTTCTCTTCATCCTGTCTGTGTTGTTGGTGGAGATAATTACTTTGTTTTTTAATTACTATTTTGTTTTATCCTGTTTATCTGAAATACCTTTAATTTATTTAATACCCATTGTTTAGATCTCTGCTGTTCCTTGAATACCTGTTAGTTACTAGTATTTATGTGTACCAGGAGTGTTGTTAGGATGTTTTATTTGTGGTAAACTGATCTCCAAAGATTTCCTTTTGAAAACACTTCTTAATTTTTGCATTCCCACCTTACTAAATATTAAGTGTTCATGGATAATTTTGGTGCTCATGTGTTTTGGGGACACAAGTGAAATGAATCTGTCATTACACCAGAATGTTTGTTTTCAACTCACAGATCAAATGTGCCTTAATTTTTTTTCATTTAGATGTCAGTTGATAGATTTGCCATTTTAATACACATCATTGGAGATCTGCTTATTTGTAAATAGCCTATTGCTCATTTGAAAAAATAAACCAGTGAACAATATTTTTCTATTGTACTTTTCAGACCCATTTCGTCTCCTTATTTCTGTGTTAACTGAAGAACTGTACTGCATTTGAAAAGTAAAAACCTTAAACACGGTCTCAAAGCTCTTGCAATTATTTAAGCCCGCTGTGAACTAAAGTATGGGAGTGAAATGAACTGACTTCTGAGTGCCTCTTCCTCTTTTTCCTAGAGTGAACTCATCTTGTTTGTTCCTTATCAGCTTGCTGACTCTGTGTCTGAAAGAGAGGGCTTCAAACCAGGTCCAGGCCCATGGCTGGCTCCTGCCTAGGAATTCATCATCCTAGGTCCAGGGCATGGCATTTTAAGCAGTGCCCCTTGTGATGCAATAAACACAAACATCTTGGGTTTTAGGATTGATCAAGAGGGTAAATTGACACAGCTGCTGTATAACCCCCAAAATAAAAAATGAGCCAGGCGTGGTGGCATACGCCTTTAATCCCAGCACTCAGGAGGCAGAGGCAGGCGGATCTCTGAGTTCAAGGCCAGCCTGGTCTACATAGTGAGTTCCAGGACAACTCGGGGTCTAAGGAGAACCCGTCCCCAAAAAAACAAAAAAAAAAAAAAAAAAAAAAAATCAAAAATGGTCTCTGCTGCTCAGGTAGAAGTCTCTGTGGATGAGAACTCAAATCCCAGGAAAGGTATTTACAGTGTAATGATGGTCGAGGCCCACAGTAATGACATCGTGCTCATACAACTGCTGTAATTCCGCCTAATTGCCGTTTATTCTGTGGGAGTGTTTAGAGTTTTTTTGTTTGTTTGTTTGTTTGTTTTTACCCCTGGAGAAAACATAGATGTTTTTATCCTCCAGTGAGGAAGAACATGGTCCACATCTTGGTGACTGTTGTGTAAAGTGCTCTCATTTTATGACAGCGAGCTTAGGGATTTGGGGCAGGGATCTGTGAAGCTGAATGCCCTGCAGGCTCTTTTTCCAGCTCTCTGCTCTTGGTAGTAGCTGAACATGACTAGCCTCCAAGTTCTACTCTCTGTGCTGACTCCAGTGTCCTGTCAGAGCTGTTCTCTATAGTTCCACTGGCCCTGGGCCCTCAGACTGGATATTACCCTGTGACCCTCACCCTACTCCTTTGGGGACCTCCAACCCACACTGGCTTTTGCTCCTGACTCTTGGGCTCTGCCACTCTGGCACCTGCTTTTCCTCCATAGCTGAAGCACCCCAGTGTCATACTGATGTCACCCCAGCCCCTTCCTGTGTATATATGAGCAGTTGGACTTAATCCTTCCCTCATGTGATCATGTTTCCCTCACTAGAGCCCCTGGAGGCCAGGCCTGAGTTTCTTGTTCACAGTCCTGCTGTGTTGAGAACTGTCCTGTCTACTCCCAGGGGCCCTCCTGAAGGAATGCCCACTGTGTCCTGTGGCCACTGGAAAGGCTGGGGCTTGCTGCCCACACCCTTGACCCAGGAATAATCCCCTTTGCCCTGGGAAAGCTTTCTGTTTATATTTTGTGTCTCATTTATTACTTGCTACTTTGTTTTTGTTTTAGTATGCATTACTTTATTCTTGTTTGTGTTTTTAAATTTTTATTTTTATTTTGAGTGTATTGCCTGCATGTGTGTAAGTGTACATGTGTCATGCAATACCCATGGAAGCCAGAAGGCAGAGTCACATTCACCTGGAACTAGAGCCACAGTTAGTATAGACTGTTGTTACCTGCCATTGTAGGTGCTGGGATTTGAACCTCAGTCCTCTGCAAGAGCAGCCAGTGCTCTTAACTACTGAACCATCTACTGAGCCCCATTATATTTTTTTCAGATGGGGTCTCCCTGTAGCCCCAGCTGACCTGGAACTCACTATGTAAATCAGGCTGGCCTCAGTCTCACATAGATCTGCTTCCTCTGCCTCTGGAGTGCTGGGATTAAAGGTGTGTACCACCACAACTGGCAGCATGCATTACTTTTTTTTAATAAAAAATGTTAAGAGGGGCTGGAGAGATGGCTTAGCAGTTAAGAGCACTGGCTACTTTTGCAGAGGACCTGGGTTTGAATCCCAGAACCTACATGGCAGCTAACAACCGTCTGTAACTCCAGTTCCAGGGGATCCAACACCCCCTCCTGACCTCTTTGGGCATTGCATGACACAGGTGCACTTAATTACATGCAGGCAATACACTCAACACTTTTTAAATAAATTATGTGTATAAGAAACGGGATGGCCCACACCCATCTAATAAGCCCTATTGATAGTATTTTAAATTAAATGGGGGGTGGTGAATGAGGGCGCATGGGGGTTGGAGAGAGGGCTCAGTGATTAAGAGTACTGGTTGCTCTTGCAAAGGACCAGAGTTCAGTTCCCAACACCCATGTGGCAGCTAACAACATCTGTAACTCCAGTTCCAAGGAATCTGACACCCTCTTCTGGCCTCTGCAGCCATTTCATGCATGGGTGCATTTACATACATGCAAGCAAAAGTTCTTGTACACATAAAAATGAATTTTAGAAAAGTTTAAACAGAACATGTGAATGGGATTGAAAACCTGGGAGATCACTGCACAAAGGCATGCAAACGGAAGCCTCCCTCCTTATTGGACCATCTAATCTCAGGCACTTACCACTAGGTACCACCAGGTTTGTGCACATCTTGGCAAAGAAAGTGTGGGTGTGTTGCCCTTTGCAACGCAGACCCCAGTGGGAGTATCTGCTGCTCTCAGGGTGTTAGGGCAGAGCAGCTCTTCATAGCCCCTGCTGCCTGGGGAGGGCAGGGCTGGCAAGGTTCTGAGCACTATTGGTTTCCTGTGGAGGAATCTTGACAGCAGACCAGGACGGCCACAGATGGTCTTGGCAGACATTGGTAACCTGCCCATTGCCTCTGGAAGGAAGCATCATTTTGCTGGCAGTAGTGTTCTGGGCCAGGATGAGGCTGGGGCCCAGAGAAGTCATAGCACTGTGAGATCCTGTTTCAAAGGGAAGGCCGGGATCATATGGTTCAGGTCCTGAGCTGCTGCTCCCTCTTGGCTGAAGACACGGGGGAGAGAAGGCAGACCCTTCACTTGAGGTTGAAAGCAGGAAGGGGGAGTGGAAGTCCTCCATGGGCTACCAGTCAAGCGCCAACCCTTTGGGCAAGTCTGTCTGAACCTCTTTCCTGCCCAGCCCTTAGCCACATCCTATTTTACCAAGTCCTCCAAGTCCAGGTCTCAGCTCATCTCAGAAATGGATGTGAAGTTTCATTTTCCGACTGTGGGCTCAGGGACATGGCTGATGCACTCTTTGCTTGCTCTTTGCCATGGTCATACTTTGCCTCCTTCCTATCCTTGGAAGGACTATCAGGGATCGGGGTGTTCTCTGAAACTAGCTCCATTCATTGTACTCAGTATGCTCCAAAAGTCAAAGTACTGGAAGTGAGTCAGATGCCACTCCACAGCTGTGGGCAGTGTTGATGTTAAAGAGACAAGTTTTCAAGCATGTCGCCCAGCTGTCTGTCTCCTTGACTTTCAAGACCCTGGAGGGACTGAAAAGTTCTGCCAGCCCAAGTCCCTAGTGCTTAAAAGTCTCCTGTGCACTCATCTTGTGGAGGAAATCCAGGTGCCAGCACTCTCCACCCTGCACAGCACTGGCCCTGGGGATTAAGCTGCATTACCGCTGATACAAACAGCTGTAATCTGGGTTGCAAAGGAGCTTATGTGCCACGAGACTGGGAGCCAGCTGGGGTTCTGTTGGCTAAGGTAGCTGCACAGGGCTACCATCCACCTAGGCATGTCCCACGGTATTTTGCAAGCCCTCAGAAGATGGCATTTTCTGTTTCACTTGAAAATGTTCACCTCACATTGGCTCAGTCTAACTTGTAAGTGAAATGAAAATGTCCAAGTCATAACGTAATGGATCAAATCACAATAGCTCATTCTGAGTATTTCCAGTAGAAAAACTTCTTGGCATTAGTTTTCCTATGCTTCAAGAGTTAGTTTTGTTTGTTTGCGTGTTTGTTTTTTGTTTAATCTTTTGCAGGGATGTGGGGGATAGGGAATGGGTAAAAATCTTCAACTGGAAACCACAGGGCCAACCAGATTAGAGGCTGACTTATCAGTGTAGTTAAACCACTTAAAATATCTATTGTTGGGTATCTTTTGATGCATTTAGCTCACTATTAATTATGCTGCAGTTAGGAAAGGTCTTCATGTTTTGTTAAACCAGACAAAAATCAAGTGTTGCCCTTTTAGGAACTGCTATACTTCCTTTAATATAGTAAGAGTAAAGGCTGGAGAGATGGCTCAGGGGTTAAGAGCACTGGCTGCTCTTACAGAGGTCCCTGATTCAGTTCCCAGCACCCAAATGGCGTGTAACATCCATCTGTAACTCCAGTTCCAGGGGATCTGACGCCCCCCGCCCCGGCACTGCATACATGTGGTGCATTTACATACACATAAAAATAAATGAATTTTTTAAAAAAGATGGGTAGTCAGTTCTGCTGGTCAGCTTTTAATGAGAAAATATAGGAAATTGATCAAATCATTAATCAGGGCAAATAAGCAAGCTCTGGACTTTCTTAAATGAAGCTGGTGTTATCTGTAATGAGCTTGTCAGCATGGAGCAGTCCAGCACAACTGAGTGGACAGGCTCCTAACTGCCACTTTCTCTGATGACTACTTGAAACCAAGAAAATCTGTCTAGCAACTCTTCAAAATGATGATAAGGTCATTAATTCTGAATTAAATGTGGTGATGTTTATTTCTTGTTCCATAACTTAAAAAGGAGTTTCTTGTTCCTAGGCTCCAAAGCATCCATCACATCCCCAGGTCTGAAACTAGAAAAAGAAAGTTTCTAAAAGTGCACTTTGAAAAGGTCTCTGTATTGTGAAGGAAGTGTTTCCAGTTTCTAAATGAATTCTGTTTCCTCTATTGTAAATGACAGTATAACCACATTGTTTAAAAGGGCATCTGCAATCAGCCCTCTGCATCACAGATTCAACTAACCTTGGATTGAAAATATTGAAGGGAAAATTTGTATCTACTGAACACATATAGGCTTTTTCTTTTCATTCTCTAAGCAATACAGTATGGCAACCTTACACAGCATTCATACTGTATTAGGTATAGCTGGAGATGACTTAAAATCTATGGAAAGATC